AATGGAAACTAATGTAGCAAGCTGCAGACATGACTGAATAGAAGCAGAGTGGAGCCTGCCGCCTGCTCACAAAAAGAGAAGCAGTGTGCTGTTAAAGGGCCTTTGGTGTTGGCATTACTCACCCAGAGAGAGAGAAAGTAGCAGCACATCTGCCATCAGCCATTTCAAAGGCCACTGCCCTAGTTAAGCTGTGTGAACTGGGGCACTTGAGTCTGAGTAATTCAGGGCTCTTATTTTCAGCACATGTCCCCAATCATTCTTGTCAAAATGGAGGCCATCTCTTGACTCTGAATGTGTCATTTATCTTTTGGAAAATAATCTGTAACTTTCATCCAGCCAGTAAAACAGAAAGTCAAAGGGAAGGAGAACAAGTTACATTTCCAGATTTAAAAAGACTGAACACATTTGATGAAAAGAGAAAGGAAAAAAACACTCCTGGGAGGCATTTCTATTCTGTGCCCAAGTGAGCTTCCACTCACTGCATCATTTGTGACTTCATACATACTACCAGCCACAAATAAATTCCAGATATTACGAGTTAGTAAAGAGAATACCTACATTCTATGATTCTATGTAATGAACACTTTTCTTGGAGTAGGGTACAGAACTAAACTTTGTGAAGATGTTGTATTCAAATGCCAGCTAGATCTGAATTGGCATCATTGATTCCAGCTAGAGTTCAACAGTAGGCCCTGGAGTCTTTCAAGCACCATTTTACTCCTGCCAGGCATCCTGCTACTCCTACTTTCTTCCTATAACTCAGTTACTGTCTTCAGCAGCTCATGCCAATGGTCCCTTTGTAGCATGCACCAAGTAGAGGAGAGGCTGTGGCCAGACTACCCAAGTGACAATCTCCATATCCCAGTGCCAAGGCCAGCCCGTATGAGCATGCATATGGGGCAGTCACTTCCTCCCTCAGTCAAGCTGCCAAACGCAGAAGCTGCTGATAGACACCTGATTGGGAGACACCAATAAGATGGGGACTGCACAGCAGAGTCACCCGCTTGAATTAATAGGACCTTGGGAGGGAGTATAAAGGAGGGTCTAACTACTTAAAAAAAATGAGTGTGCAGTATGCTCTGCTACTCACTGACTCCCAGGGCCTGAGTTGTTGGTGATGCATCTTCTCATCCTCTCCCCCCAAGGGGTGTTCAAGCAGGGTAACCAGCAACAACCAGAGTCAAGAGTAAAGCCTAATCTAAATAGAGCAAATGGAAGACGTGTCATTGCCTGAGCACAGGAATTGCTATGCTGTGATTATGGGTTGTGAAATCAAGCTTCTGTTTCCATATTCTTGTCACTGGTGGAGGAGACTTGGGCAAGTGATTGAGCCCTCTGTCACAGGCACCTTCAGTTGTCAGATCGAGGCAATGACAACAGCACTTCGTCGTTACTGCAATAATCAAATGTGCTAATACATCTGCAATAATCAAATGTGCTAGTACATGTATGAAACATTTAGGCCAGCCAATAGTAAGTCTTTATTAAATAGCAGCATTCGGAAACTGAGCTTGTGAGGGCAAAGTGCTCCTGCATTCAGAAAGTTGAAGCAGGTGTATTGAAATTTTTCAGCCACTTGAATGACATGGTAAATTCAAGACCAGCCAGGACTACATAGTAGGATGCTACCTAAGGGGAAAAATGCACAAAAAGTAAAAACTTACTTGCATGCATTGTTTCATGCAATTATTCTCAAAAAACATTTCAATTTACTTAGCATTCAGTCATGGAAGTGAACTATTTATTTAAAATAAATTTACAGACTGTTTGCTTGACGCTTTTGACACATATATCAACTTTAGAATCACCTTGTTAATGTCCAAATTCTTGGAATTTTTTTAGTAAAATTTTATTAAGCATACATATTTATCCAGGGGAATTTTTAATGAATTCAATTTTATCATCTATATATATAGTTTATCTGTCTACATAACTAAGTTTCCTTGAAATATGCCTTTAATATTTTATAAATTTTATATTCATATAGAGAATGTTTCCTATTATACTAATTTAATTCTTAGCTATTTCACAATTCTGTCCTTTATTATTAAATAAAATGCAATCTTATTTTCTACTAAATGAAAATCCTTAGCATTTGTTTTTTCACAGAGATGTCAAAAATTTCAGAGTAAATATAAAACATTTCCTGCATGCTTAGTTTTATAGAAAAATTCAAGCCACATTGTGAATTTAAAGAAAATTTATCTATAAATATTCTAAGCAAAAGTCTTTTTCAAAGGATACAATTTTTAGTCTGGAATATATCTCTATGCAACAGGATATTTTTGTAGAAAAAAGTATACAGTGGATGGTGTATTTGCTTCACCTGCTTTATATAAAGCATAAAAGTAGAACCATCACATTCCAAACAGAAAGGTTAAGAACTTAAGAGAACTCTACACTTAATTAATGTTTATTAATGTAATATTAAACCACAGAATTCAAACACCTGCTGCACACCTGACTTCTTTTCTACATGCATGCACATTAGCAGTCTCATACTTTAATAATTATCTCACTTGATTACTGTTATTGGCTTTTGGTCTATTTTTGCCCCACACTCATGGGTCAGAGCTTAAATTGTGCTACTCATCACAGGTATTAATATCCAATTCACCCCATAAGTAGGAATAGAAAATTTCAAATAGCAAATATAAACATTCTTTCTTTTGTTTTTTTTTTTTTTTTTTTTTTTTTTTTTTTTTTTTTGGTTTCTTTTTTGAGGCAGGATTTCTCTGTAGCTTTTGGAGGCTGTCCTGGAACTAGTTCTTGTAGACCAGGCTGGTCTCAAACTCACAGAGATTCTCCTGCCTCTGCCTCCTGAGTGGTGGGATTAAAGGCATGTGCCACCAATACCTGGCTGCAAATATAAACATTCTCAAATATAGAAACAAAAATAATTTCAAGAATGCTGTTTCAAGAAAAGAATTTGAGTCACAGTGTTTATCTTCTGAATGAAGAGAAAGAAAAAATAAAGAAATTAAAGTATAGTAAGATGAAATACACATAGATAATTAGCCTAGTATATAACAGGAGAATGAACAGGGTGGAAGGTATACTGTTAGAAAAGTAACTACAAAAAGAGGCCTCAGCCTCTGGTAGTAGATCAGTATTTTTCCCTGGTGTAAGAAGGGACTTTGAGAGCCCATCCCACATGAAGGGATGCTCTCTAGGCCTGGACACATGGGGGAGGGCCTAGGTTGGCCCAGGATGATGTTGTGGAATTTGGGGAGTCCCTGTGGAGGGCCCTACCCTCTATGGGGAGCAGAGGGGGGAGGGGAGGAGACTGGTGGGGAGTTGGCGGGGGAGAGAGAGAAGGGATTGACATGTGAAATTATAATTTTGTAAAAATAAAAAAAGGAGGCCTCAGATGAGGAGGGGGCATGAACACAGAGCCGAATCATATGAAAGTTCTGAAGGAAGAATTAGGCAGGTAAACAAAATAAATAGTAAGATTCAGAAGGGATAAACTTTGCATTGTGGAAGCAACAGTAAGGTTAGTTAGTGAGCAGGGTGAAGAAATTGGGGTATGAAGTTAGGAAAGTAAGGCATGACACATGGCCACATCATTCAGGCAAGCACTTTAAAAATTTATTGTGCTTCTAATTCATCTGGGGTCTGGTTAAAATGCAAACTGCAGTTCAGAAGTTCTGGGGCTGGGCCAGGGTTTTACAGCTCTTTTGAGGGTTCCAGAGAATGCTATCTGTTATTCCAAGGGCCAGCCTTTGACTAGAAAGCTTCTGAGCTGTGCAAAGGAGGCTGAGGTTTCTTGTACATATGAATGAAAACCATAAAAGGGTCTTGAGTGGGTATGACCATAAATAAATATGCGCATGCATAGGCTTTCACCTACTGTGTCTATAAATAACCTGGTTGCAGAGAGTGCATGGGAGCAAGTCAGTGAGTAGACTACTTTCTTTAGCCAGCAGTTAAAGGGACCTGTGTGATGTTGGCTGGGAAGGAGTTGTTTAACTGAATGAGCACAGATAATAGCTTAATATTAGATTTGTGATTGAAAGGTAGAAGAAAGGCCAGTCAAGGGGACAGAGCTAAGATAGTTGCCTATTGCAAATCCTTGTGAAGAACTCAATAATTCAATACAGGAGCCAAACCAGAGACTGACAAGAAGTCCAAGCCAATACTACTGAGAAAATCTGAAAATTCATAGATGGATGCAAAAGGATATGGTATCACCAATTTGACAAATGTGGTCATATTAACAGGACAAAGACTTCTTGAGTTGATGGCCAGGAAGAGCAACGAGGAAATTATAAGGTAGATGCAGAGATAAGACAACCCTTTCAAGACTTTTTTTTCTATAAAGAAATGTTTATATGTTTATTGGAATGAAAGCTGAGAGAAAATACTAGTGAAGGAGGGAAGAGTGCTGTGAAGAGAAGAAAGCAGTAAAAGGGAAGCAGAATAGACATAAGTAGAATCTCATGTTATTGGATAGATGTGTAGGAAGATGAAATAATTATCTAGGCACTCACAGCTTTAAATAAAATAGGATCAAATAACTAGTGAGGAAGAAAGATTAGAGAGTTGAGCAGTAAAATACTGGTGTTATTTGGTCATCTTAGTATGAAAACAAATTTCAAACAAAAATGTAGTACAGGATTATAGAACAGTGCTGAGCAACCATTTAGGAAACTTCAATAGCATTGCTACAAATAGGTGGACTTTTCTGTAGCAGCATTTATCTACTTAGAGAGATTATGGTATGATTATGTGGGTATATGCAAGGAAAAGCTGTAGTGATAGCCTATAGCATTTAGAGCAGATGAGAGAGAAGAGAGAACCTGAAAATGTGGTGAGTCAATACATTATCCAAATGAGACCAAATAACAGTTGGTAAGTAAGTGAAGGTGTTTCTTTGACTCTGGGTAGATAAAACCCCTGAATGATCCAAAGGTGCTGAACTGTGTAATTTTTAACCACACATACAGAGCCATGGAAGTTTTTGAAAAACATTTATTATAGAGTTAATAGGATGGCATTTTACTTTCAGTTTCTCAGAAACATGTCTATTGAGATGAGAAAAAGCAGCATCTATCAGCACAGAGACTGTATCTCTTAATATTTCAAAATATTTTAAGTGTTTTAATGCTCCAAGCTGAAAACTCAAAACATCATCCCCACCAAACAGGCTATTAGAGCACTATCCTTGAGTGCTGTTTTGTCTCTCTGCTTAATATTCACTCAACAGCAATAAAACAGAAGTTATCGTGCTGAATTTGAGTGCTAATGCACTTCCAGAAAAATCTGAACAGCAAGCAAGTGGGATGTAGCAAAGCCACATCAGACAGTCTTCAGAAAACTGTCAAAAGGGCAAACAGTCCGTAAAATAAGGCACAGGGGTAAGCAACAAGAAGCTGTTGTCCTTCCATGGCCAAGGCTGAAATGAAGATCTTAGAAGCTGAGAGACTGCACCAGGTGATGATGAGCAGGGCTGTCACAGTTCCAAGGGTGCCCCTGTAGCAGAGACAAAGATGACAGCTGCCTTATGCCCTGAAGAGAAGGGGGAGACTGAGTCAGACCTGCCTCTGAAATACCAGCGGTGCCTCTATTCAGAGCATCGGCCTCCATTTGCAAAGATGAATGAATACCTGGATGAGCTCACCAGACCTCAGCCAGTCAGAAAATAAAAAATTAAAATCTACTGCTTAGGACTGATATTTTTTTATATTTTTAGTAAATCTAGAACAAGCAAAAGCAGAAACCACTGTTATAATCAGTCTCATTCATCAACATCCCATTTTATTCCCATTTCATGTAATGTGATTCTAAATTGTCTGTTCTGGTTTGGATTTGTAACAAAGTTTATTTGCTAAACATTTGGTTGCTAGCTACAGCTGGAAGTGGGAGAGCTAACTTTGGGGTAGAATCTAGTAGGAGGAAGTTTGGTCAACCAACACCTGCTTCTCATTCTCTTTTCTCCAGGGAACTAAGATGAGCATCTCTGTCCCACCAGTTTCCTCATCATCATTTCTGCCTCTCCACAGAAGAAAGATAACAACCATGTACTGACACCAAGAGCCATAGGAAATCTCTGCTCTTCATAAGATTATTTTCTCAGGTATTTCATCACAGTCATGAGAGTCTAACACATACATTATCCCTTAGAATTTCAGGGCAAAAACGTCAAATTCTGGTAATTTCCAAATCTAAATTTTATGAATAGTTTTCTCTATGTCTTTTAGCATCCAGTCAATTAAGATGTTCTAAATAAATACATAAATAAATCACTGAAAATATCCTTTGACACTTGGAATTTTAAAATGGCACATCATAGTATTATTTTGCAAAAACATCAAGGTTGTAGAACCAAACTACAAGGATCTGTCAAAGTTCTGTACAATACAGCCCTGTAAACAGAACAATGTGCTAGAGGCAGCAGTTACACAACAGTGGTATGTTTCTGTGGATAAAACACAAGTATAACTTGTTCTACTTATACATTCATAGTGCCCATTTCCTGCCAAATTCTTTTGGTAACTGGAGTACTCATTGATAAAACAATATTTGGCTCCAGGAATTCTCAAGAATGTTACAATAAAAAAGACCATATCTGAAGAAAATGAGCAACCAGTCTCAGTAATTTCATAATAATAACTATTTGTGATGACAAAAATATCTTAAGCTTTTGCTTCTTAAACCTGACTATCCTCATAATGATAAACTCTCTATATGATAACATCCCTTCCAATGTAGCATTAATAACCTAAGACCTACATTATCCAAGAAGAAAATGCAAGTCACATCTCCTTTGGACATAAAAGAATGAGCAAAAGGTTGTTTATTTCCAAGTGTTTTGTACACATGACAGGCAGCTATAGAGATGTTTGCTTGTTGTCACTGAGTGCTAGTGTTGTGCATGAGACTTGGGAAGGTGCTGTGGGAAGCACATCTACGGTATCCTTATGAATAGTTTAGAATTGCAAATGCCAGATGTCTAAGTGAAGAAAGAAAAAGGGAAAAATTGTATTGAGTGAGCATGTATGCCATAAGTTCTCCAGAATTAATGTCCTCATCAGGGTTTCTGGAAATTCTCGACAGTGAGGAGTCCAGCTGAGAAATAACAGTTGATTCTTTTTAGAAGGAGGATGCCTGGGCACTGAAGTAACTTGTCAGAATTCAGCAGGTATTTACTCTTCCAAAATCAAATAAGTGAATTTTCTGCAGTTACTATATTACCCATGCCAATCATTTAGAATGAAGAATGAGACAACTTAAAAGTACCAGTTTTAAATATTACATGGCTGGATTTCTTTTTAAACCAGTTTAAAAAGAGCAGCACCACAGCCAAACTGACTTTTCCTTGCTGAATCTATGTGTAGCTTTTTAATAAGCATGATTTTTCTCAATTATATTGAAAAATGTGAAGAAACCATCATGACTGCCCTGGTCTAGCAGGCCTGGGCAAAGATCATGCATGTGTGGTCAATTAGCACAGACACTTACTGCAATGAAAAGAAGATGGCACAGCTGGACAAGATGACCATGGGCAGCAAACAATATCCCAGCACACTGGCCACACAGCCATATGACACCCCTGCAGAACTCATCAAGTTTAGTAAGGTGTGAATCACAAGACAGCCAATGGCACTCATGCCATATACATAACCAAACTGGGCTTTTCCTGCCTGAAACAAAAAAAATAGAAAACAATTAGAAATCACAATAGACGTGAGGAGAAATCAAAATAACAACAATACAGAGAGTACTCAAGAGTCTACTCAATGCTGCTAAATATTATGGTAGGTACTATCTATCTATCACCAGGTACTGAAGATTCTGGTTAAAATGAAAAAAAAAAAACACTACCTGTGTCATGAACTCCAAACAAGCAACCTGAATGTATACATTTATGTATGTATATATGATATTTTGGATGGGCTAGGCATGCTACAGAAAAGACAAAATATTGCCAGCATGATTTTTTATTATACATTTTTGATAGAGAGTACAAGGAGTGAAATATGTATATTTCTGCCCTATGCATACTGAATAGCTGAATTATTAAGCAAAAGAATAAAACATCTAATGTGGTCTAGACATTTATAAGTAGTATCAGAAATACCGTTAGATTTTATTTCAAATTTTAACAAAATGTTTAATATTGAAATAGAAAATAAATTATCTGGGTTTTTACATCAAATGTCTAGGATCGTCCCTAGAAAATTTACCCGTATTATCACATCTTAATCTAAAACACTTAATGTTCTATCAAATACTTAAATTTTTTTTTTCTTGCCAGGAGGTTGTAGAGCACACTTTTATTCCCAGCTCTCAGGAGGCAGAGGCAGTTGGATCTCTGTGAGTTCAAGGGCAGCCTGGTCTATAGAGTAAGTTCCAGGATAGGTTCCAAAGCTACACAGAGAAACACTCTCTAAGAAAAACAAAAGCTCCAAGCCTTGTAGATTTTGGACAAGTGCTCTACCATTGAGCTACATCACCAGCCTGGTTTTATGAGATAGGATGTATGTATGTATGTATGTATGTATGTATGTATGTATGTATGGATGCATGCATGTATGTCTTGTACCTCCATCTCCTGAATTCTGGAATGACACACATGTAGCACAATACCCAGCCCTAATTGTAATTTTGTATTGCTTAAGAACATTGATTTTCAGACCATACTGTTAGCCCTACAGGAACAGAATGTGAGAATGTCTTTAAATTGTATGTTGATGTTGGGGAATGAAAAACATTGGTGTTGCTGTGGTTTGTGTGTTTCCTTAATGTCTATGTATTAAGGACTTGGATGTCTGTAGTGCTTTGGGAAGTTGTGGATCCTCTAAAAATTGGCTCTAGTAGGAAGAAGTGATGTCACTAGGGGCATATATCTGTGGAGGATAATGGGACCTCAGGTCCTTCTTATCTCTATCTCTTACTTCTTGGCTGCAAGAGGTAAGCACACTCCTATAGATGATTATGAGTCTTACATGTCCGGAAGCACTTCATGAACTTAAATATTTTTTTCTGAATTTAGCTTTACTTTTACTAATGTAATGGATGTAATGGTCTATAAAATGAACATTTAATTATAGAGGCAGAGTAGAGAAGTGTTAACTTGGCAGCAAATAAATTCATACTGAAGTCTGAGTTCAGGTAATATCTAGTTGAAGTGTTTGGAATGTTATTGTTGGTCCATATCTATCAACATTAATTCTAAAGTTATAAGTATTAATGAAAATAATCTAAGGGCTAATGCTTATACAAAATCTAAATGACAAGCATGGTATGTACTCACTCATATATGGATATTAGACATAGAGCAAAGGACTACCAGCCTACAATCCACAGCACCAGAGAAACTAGGAAACAAGAAGGACCCTAAAAGAGACATACATGGTCCCCCAAAGAAGGGGAAAGGGACAAGAACTCCTGAGCCAATTGGGAGCATGAGGGAGAGGGAAGGGAGGTAGGAAAGAGAGAAGGGGAAAATAGGAGGGAGGAGAACAAGAGGGATAAAGAAGACTGAGACGGGGAAGAATAGAGGAGAGCAAGAAAAGAGATACCTTAACAGATGGAGTCAGTATAGGTTTAAAGAGAAATCTGGCACTAAGGAAATGTTCAGAGATCCACAAAGATGACCCAAACTAAGAATCTAGGCAATAGTGCAGAGGCCACCTTTGATGCCTGTCTTCTATAATGAAACTGATGACTATCTTAATTGCCACCCTAGAGCCTTCATCCAGTAACTTATGGAAGCAGAAGCAGACACCCACAGCTAAGCACTGAGCCACACTCCTGGAATCCAGTTGTAGAAAGGGAGGAGGGATGAGCAAAAGAGTCAAGACTGTGCTGGAGAAACCTACATAACCAGCTGACCTGACCTAGTGAGAGCACAGGTACACCATTTGTAAAGCTGGGGAACCAGCATTGGACTGAACCAAACCCACTGAATGTGGGTGCCAGTTAGGAGGCCGGGGCAGTCTATGGGACCTCTAACAGTGGAACCAGTACTTATTCCTAGTGCACAAATGGACTGCGGGAGCCCATTCCCTATGGAGGGATATTATTTCAGCCCAGATACACGGAGTAGGGCCTAGGACCTCCCCAAAATGATGTGACAGACTTTGATGATTCCCCCCATGGAAGGCCTCACTGTCCTTGAGGAGAAGGTGGGGGTGGGATGGGAGGGTTGGTATTGGGCATGGGAGGCTGGGAGGGAGAGGGAATGGGGGGGCTTGATATGTAAAATGATTGTTTTAAAATAAAAAAGAAAAAGATATTAATGATATCTATTTTCACATATTCCATATAATTGTAGAACTACCAGAAACCTTAATTTCTTGTAAACTTGGAAAAGAAAGTAAACCCTTTTGTCTTGAAGTGAAGAAATGGAGTCATAAAAATCTGCAGACAACATATTAAGATCATAGTTGTTGGGAGTTATAGGTTGAATTCATTTTATCACCTCCAGTTAAGATTAACTTATTTATAATGCTTTGTATCTAAACACAAGAGAAAATATTTAAATAATTTGTATTAGCATTATGTATCCAAGAGTGATCTTGATGATGGAATTAACACTGTCTTTTAAAAGATGATAATCATAATACATTCTCCAGAAGAACAAACAGCTGTTATATTACAAATGACTTGCGAGGGAAAGATGAATTAATAAATTGATTGTTTCTGACTATTTGATTAATTGGCATGGCCTTGCATAGCAGTTTAATCCAAGCTTACCACTTTACTGTGAAAAGGAGAAGAAGGGAGCCATAAGAATAAGTGGGAACTCTCGATGACTATGTTTGAGTCACAGAGTATTCACATTTTAGAAGCTGCAAGGAAGGAGGTTATTGTGACTGTGTTGTTGCACTGGATGAAAAGGATTTGATCATTGACCTCACAGAAACCAGATTTCATTCAGTATCTTGGATGGCTTGTATTATAAATTCAGTAAAGGAGAAGATAGCATGTATGTAGTCACACATACTTTTAAGAACATGTTTGATAGTTATAGCTGCATTAAAAGAAACTGTTTTTGTATGTATGTGTGTAAGGAGTGCTGCATATGTTCATGTATGTGTATTCATGTGTGTGCAGGCCACCTTTTTTCTGAGACAGAGTGCCTCACTGAGCCTGTGGCTCACACACCTGCTAGACTACTGACACATGAGCATCATGGTCCCCAGTGCTAAGGTTATTATCATGCATCTCTAAACCCAGTTTTTATACACTGGGATCCAAGTTCATTTCCTAATGCTTGTTAGAAAGAAATTTTCTTCTTTTCTAAAAGAAATCACTTCAAAATTAGCACTGGTGAAGACAAAGCCTGAAATGTTAGAAGCTACCATAAGCATCGTGGCTCCCAGGGCCACACAGAAAAGAATGGGTCCTGTGAGATCTGTTTCGTTCATGATGCTGCCATCTGCTGGCTTCATCGGGTTTAGCACTGTCAACGTTTTCTGCCATATATGATCAAAATTAATTCCAAGTTCTGCAAAAAGAAAATAAACAGTCCAAGGTAAATACAGGAAACAGAAGAGCTCTATTATTTCATGTTAGTATATCTATTCTTTTGCATGGTATCTTAAGATGAGTTCTCTATTTTGTTCTCATAATCCAAATCTAAAATTTGAGGTAGTATACTTTGAGCAAACACACCCAATGAAATGGTTTACAAAACAAAAAACAACAACAACAAAAACAAAACAAAACAAAAAACTCTGTTGAGGAAGTTTTTATCTGGTTCATGAAACAAAACCTTAATACTATTTAAAAATAACATAGGAATTGACAGATAGTAAAAATCTACCATTGAAGTTAAGAGACTAAATGTATCTCAATTACTCCTTCAGATATTTCCTCCACCTCCATTTCTGACTTCTAGTACTTCTGGAATCATGCCATACCACCCATGGCATAACTGGTTAATGGCACTCAGTTTAGGTCTAGAGTTTTCCTTCAGTCTGCCTAATAAGAACATTGACCAAGGGGGAGGGGAGGCAGCATGAGAACAAGAGATAATGAGATGGCAGAGGTGGGGAGGGATGCAGTGGAAGAGCAATGAAACAGACATCTTAACAGACAGAGCCACTATGGGCTTATGGAGAAACCTGGTGCTAGAATAACTCCCAAGAATACACAATAGCACTGGTGGAGAGGATGTCCTAACGGGCCTTCTCCTGTAGTCAGACTGGTGAATAACCCAATTATCATCAGAGAGCCTTCATCCAGTAATTGATGGAACCAGATGCAGAGAAGAACCAAGCTGAATTTCGGGAATCTAGTGAAAAGAGGGATGGTGGAATATATGAGCAAGGGAGGTCAAGATCATGATGGAGAAATCTACAGAGACAGCTGAACCAAGCTTGTGAAAACTCATGAACTCAAGACCTACAACTGTGGAGACCCCAGGGAACTGAACTAGGTCCTCTGTCTGTGGGAAACAGCCCCTGGCAGTAGGACCACAACAAAAACCTGGTACATGAGTTAGCTTGTTGGAACCCACTCTATATGATGGGATGCCATGCTCGGCCTTAATGCATGGGAGAGGGGCCTGGCCCTGCCCCAACCTATTGTGACAGACTCTGTTGACACCTCATGGGAGCTCGTACTCATGATGAGTAGTGGACTGGTGTAAGGGGGCTGAGGAGGAGGTGAGGGGTGTGGGAGGATGCGAGGGGTTGTGAGGAGGTGTGGGAGGGAGAATTATGGTTGAAATGTAAAATGAAATTAAAAATA